TGTAATACTAATCATCAAAAAAAATTAATGTTACTTGGTGTTTTAGTTTCTAACATATCTAAATACTGTTAGTATTGTAAATCAGGAAAATGTTCGGCCTGTTATTTATTTTTGTAGTACCTATCTTAGGAGTGTATTTAAGGTACCTGGGTCACTTTGCTGTCTTTGCTTGGACAATTTATTTGAATCAAAATACTTGTCTAGGAAAAAATGTTTTTATTGATGTGAGTGCTTTAATCTTTTCTAAAGATAAATAAACAATCAATAACAATTTTAATAGATATTACATTGTATTACTTGAGAATACATAAATAAATTAATGTAGTTATTAATATAATTTACATTTTTCATAAGTTTGGTGTAACACACACCAAGTTTTAGTACTTTATTTTTCTAATTGTTACATTATGAATTATAAATATTTCGAACCATCATAATTGATAGTTGAAACATATCATATTTTAATTAATAATTTATTTTTTTAGTAGAATGAATACATAAATAATATATCATTTTTTGGAATAAGAATTGAAAAAATAAATTTTACTACGTAATATTATACTTTCTAATTTGATTAAATTGTTATTGTGTTTAGTTATATTATTCACAAAATGTATAAATGAAGTATAAGCTATTGTTTTGTAATTAAGTAAATAGGACTAAATAAAAATATATCGTCTAAAAATAACGAGTTTCAATTTCATATTTAGATAAATAGCACCCATGTATGGTGTAATGGTGTAGGTAGGTACATCATAACGGGTTTCTCGCATGAGATGAAAGGATGAAAATCGATTTCCAAGTCTCACGTCATGGCAATGTATATTGATGTGTGTGTAAGAAACTAAGAAATACTAAGAATTCAATTTTGACAATCAATTTATAGAATTCGAAACTAATTCTGTTTAAAATTAGTTCAGCATGTGTAAAAAGTAATCGATATTTGAACTTCTGAAGTGTTATCTTAATTCTAGATATAATAAATTTGTATCAATAAAGTATTAGCTGATTAAATATATTAATTATTAACAAATACTATATGTCGAATAAAACAATAAAATTTCATCATCTATTTAAAATAAGTAATAAATAATTATATTGGAAATATATACTTATTCTAAGGGCGCGATATGTATATTTTTTGTATTCAGGGTAATTATATAGTATTAAAGTGAGTTGTTTCATTTTCAGTATTTCCACAGTTGATTTAAATGACTTAGATTGGTACCCGCCGTTGTGAATTCTAATTTAAAAATAGGCACTTAACTACCTACCAAGTTATTCGTTAATTTAATATTTTTCTTTAAACCTTCTTTGAAACATACAATAGTCTTAAGCTTAACAACTAGAGTCATCAGCTATTCGAAGGTACGGTAGAAGTTTGAGTGTTTGTGCATCTAATAGAGTTATGAAACACGTACGTGTATTTGTGCATCATGGATTTGTGTCACCAAGAACCCAAATTGTTGGTCACCTATCTGAGAGTTAGCGACACCGGCCGATTCTTAACCTCAGAACACGTTAGTTACTGAGGCCAACCACCGTGCACTCCAGGTCATACTTTTATATTTAAAATCTTTCATTGCCATATTATATTAATGATTATAATATTTTAGTATAAACTTGCAATTTAAGTCTAAAAATATTAAAAAATGTATTAGATACTAATGTACCTACTATTCTGGGTAAATTTTTGAACAGTAAACACTCATTATCTCAAAAATTATTAACATTATATAAAATATATTGTTTACATTATTTAGAATTTAAGTATAAATTTAGTTAAATATTTAAAGTGTGAGTAGAATCCACAAATGGTGGGTACCACAAAAAGAATTATTTTACTATTTTAGCACTACACTTATTTAAGTTTTAAATAATTATAAGTTTGAGTTATAAAAATTAATTTCTCATTTAAAGTTCCCCTAAAAAATATTTTGCTTAGGAATATAAAATTAAAAGTAGGTATACATTGCTTTTAGAAAAAACCATAACTATAATTTTTCTTGTTTATTGACAGAAAGCAGTTATAATGTCTAATAATATATAAAATATCTATTATTAATTTTAAATCATCTGTGCGTGTGAGTATGTCAAAAGATTCAGAAGTATGTATGTCTTCTATATGATAATAATTTTTACTTAGTAATGTTCACGTATTCAATAATAATAGGTACTGTAGGCACTTAATATACCTAGATAATACGACCACGTACAGAACTATACATCTTCAATCTACCTTTTGATTAAGTCTTACAAATCGTTTTTTGTTTCCAATCGATGAATATATCTAAGTATTTAATTTCTTTTTTCATGTCATGAGAAATTTTAAAAGTAACCTATTTATTTGTATTTTTTAGTATATGTAATTTACATGGTTAGTTTGCAGTATTTGAAATGTTTACTATAAAATTATTAAACCACAATATCACATGTTTGGATCGTGAACAGTCATATTGTACATACCACTCATGGATCACTTTATCTGTATAATTTTTGTATTTTTGTCTTCATAAATAATGACGCAAATAGATACAATTTAAATCAAATAATATCATATACTAATAGTAGTGAATTTATTAAGTATTATAATAGATTTGTAAGTATTTTAAGTTTAGTTTAGACAAAAATGGAAAAGACTTATACTTACCTGCTGATAGTCTATACTTTATAGGATTATTATTAGGTTTGTGAATATTACTAAAATAAGCGTATTATGTTTTAAATATATGTATAGGTTTATAAAATTAACTTAATAATTTAAGAAGATTTTACTGTCTAATATTTCATATTTTTAAAAAATAATTTAATTTAATTTTTCTTAAAAAAAGTAAATTCAATACTTAGAAGTTGAAGTATTTTACTTGATAATGGAAAAAAATCACTTTTACTGAAAGGTAGTATTCTTATAGTTACTTTCGTATATATTTTTTAATTAGTTGAATTAAAGAAACCAGAATATATTTAACGTAATATTTAAAAAAATAAAAATTGATTTATATATATAAAATAAATAATATGAGTTCATATCTTTATAAACATTTTACCTATTTATAAACATATGTATATGCGTGACCGTTAAATTATTATAAATTATAATATATTGTGTAACAGACATTCATGTTCTGGTCGATATCACTCTACCACAAACAAGCCAGTTGTTAACCATAAATACACCTGTCCTACTCACCCTATAATGTTTTTCGTTTACAACCGTTAGGTAGTGGTTACTTTCAAGTATAAAATTGTTGTTCACTGTTCAGTTGCCTAGAATGTATAATACAATAACAAAAAAAAAAAAAAATTAACGGTCGCGATTATAAAAAGAAAAAAAGGTTTTTAATTAAAAGGTGTACATATAATAGTTTATTCGAGAATTAAACAAATTGATTTTTTTGTATGATTTTCTCTTTTTTTTTATTTCTACTTTTCTTATTTCTTATACTAAATGAAAGCCATCTTTAGTATAGTGACGATCGTTTAGCTAAAATTTAAATCAGCCATGAAATAAATTACGGAAACGTGAAAAGTGATTTCTAGTAATCAAACGTTTCGCTAGGTCAAAGGTTAAAGTTGTTAAAATTATACTTGCAGTTGATTTCTTAAAAACATCTACCTACACGCTTCTTTACATATAAACTGAAACATATTAATTTTTGATTACAAGTACATTTGACTTAGTTTTTATAACTCTTTTTGCTAAGCATACTATACAGCTATTGCAGGTTCATACTATTGATATATTACTATCTACATAATATATAATATTATATTATATTTAACTAGATAACTGAAAGCATGATCATTGATAGCTAAATATTTTATTTTGAAGTTCAAATAAAGAAGACTTGTATTATAACTTATTTTATCTATATAAGCTTAAAACCGTTAATTTTGGGATAGAATAAGGTTATACAAGGAAAAATATAATTTTGTTATAATTTTAAAATCCATTTGTCAAATCAAAGACAACATATTTTAGTTGAACAATAATTTGTTTTTTTGTTGTTGATATATTTACAATTTCTTGCGATAAGTTAATAATGGTTATCATATTTTATTAGTCTTAGCACACAATAAATTTAATTAAATTTATTCTGTGGTATTGGTTTTTATAAAAATATTTTGATCTATAATTACTTTATAAATTATAGTAATGGTTAATGGGTTTTTTTTTTTTGGAGTAGTGTGGTTTGTTTATAATCTTTATTATTTTACCAATATTAAATGGACAAACGCGGTGTGCCACGCGGTAGAGACATTTCTACGTTTTGTAGTAATGATGTATTTGTTAATGTTTTAAATTTTGTGTAAGTGTTAAAAAATAAGATCCTTACGTACCATATTATTAATTATCTTTGATATTTATACTAATATATTTGTCGTTATAAAACTTATAAGTAAATATTATGCACCACGAATAGGTATATAGATATTTGAAGTCTAATTGAAAAGTTAAAATGTCGTGAATTGATTATTTATGTTTTTTTTTTTATTTGTATTGGCTATTTTATGTATCTGTTAATATGTATTCTCTTATAGTTATATAAATTATAAAGTTCGGTTTGAAAAATACAATGCATATTAATTCAAATGCATTGTAAAGGAATTCAAGTAACATGTTTGTATTATTTACAAACTATACAAACAATTGTATACACATAACGAACAGACGAATAACCATTTGATCAAATAATGCACCATTTTCAGGAACATTTTAGGCTTTTATTGAATGCGAGTTCACGGTTACGTAGGAAAAAATATATAAATACTAAATACGTGTAAAAAAAAAAGCAAATCGACAATAATAATAGTTCAGTTGCGCCGTGGTTTGACACGAATTATTAGACTTTAAATTCAAATTGTATTGGTGGATCGTTGAATTAAAATAATATAAACTTATAAATTTATATTTTGCATTTGATTTAGAACATTGTTGTATTTATTTTATTAGATTCACGGCAGATAATTTTATAATGTATAAAATGTTTTTGTTTTAGTTTATGGTAAGATCGAGGAGCATGAAGTGGTTTCAGAAAAACACCGAAGATGCCGCACCACGGTTGCTTAGTCTCTCGCCAATTCGAAACTACGATTCGGGAGATCCCGATTACTCGGCAGAGAGATATTACCACTTACCATCAGGTCCTAGGAGGTCTAGATTAGGTACGTACATACATATTATATTTTTATTTATTTATACATTTATTAATATAATGCAGTACATATTGTGTGTACTTTATTATATTGTTTTGATTAATATGTTTATGTTTGGTAGTTTAAGCTGTCGACTGTCACGATATATATACTATATATTTACCTAATTACCTACATCTAATGTTTGTTATAACGTAACCGAATATTTCTATTACCCATAGAAGTATTAGGTAGGTACATTATATAAATTGCGATAAAATAATATCATATGTCGTTAATATTATTTTGCTACAATTTAAAAAAATATTTTATTTCACGAACAGTTCTATTAACTCTTAAGTTGTAGATATATCAAAAAATAAACCATATATATTCATGATTATATTAAATTTTATATTATTGATGTATGTGATCTTTTTATCAATATTTTAATAGTCTAATAATATTTTCGAATACGTGTGTAATTTTAGTATTTTATCATTTCAAACAGATCTATGCATTTTATTGATACCTTGTTATATTTACTGGTAAATTTAATACCCAAACATACTATCATGCGCCGAATCAGTACAAGTAAAATAACACCTTTGAATCAGTACATATATTAATAGTTATATCAATACATATACCCTGACAGAGTATTTTGATTTCGATTAACTGCTAAGTCAATACCTCATACAAAATACAGTACGTTTACTGTGAATTATTAGACATTTAGTCTTAAAAGTTCTGCATTCAAATTGCAGTTTTTCTTCAGATCTTGGTATGAATCGTATTAGCAAATAACTCAGAAGTGTATGATAACTTAGAATTTTATAAACATTAATACTTATATTCTCCTACTTGTAATTAAAATTATACACATTTTGACTTTTACGTGTTTTGAACAATAAACGAATTTTTAAGGTTAGTAGCTACAAATAGTTTTATCATTTATTATGAGTAGGTATACTAAATTTATATATATAATATAACCATGAACGTTCGTGAGAATCAGGTCATACATTTCGACATCCATATACACGAGCGGAGAAGCGCCTACGTCAGTACACAGAGATTTCAACAGCAGTGTTTATGATATAATATAATATGATGTATATGATATACCTACATACCCATAAAGGTTGATGTCCATAGAAATATACTAATCAGCTATTGTTTAATAAGCTATGAACCAATACTCAATAATTGTAAGCCGTATGATAAGAACATGATTGAAAGTTGAGTAATTCTAAATCATAGAATACTGATACTAGGTATATGGTATTTTGGTAGGTATTTTAGTTGGTTCATGTGATAAAAATATTACTTTTAAGTATCAGACTTTTATAGTTATGTCATTTTTTTCATTCAAAACTCAAAGGTGATGATATAATTTGTTATGTATTTATAATATGCATTAGTAAATATATTTCTTAAAAGAACTTAAAATAAAAAATATAATTTTAGTTACAATGTAGATCAATAAATATAATATATTGATATATATATTTTTTTCTATTATCATTAAAGCTTCAACAGCAAAAATAAATCACTTATAATAAAAAGTTATATTTATAGATGCATTATATTTTATATTCTTATTTAAGATCGCAAGTAGCCGGACATCCCGACCCGTCGCGCGTTAGCGATATGGTTAAGTGTAGGTATGCTATTCACGTACTTATTTCAGAGATAACAATATCAAATATAATACGCGTTAATATTAAATATTTTAATATTATTTATTTTTTATTAACGTATTCCAAATTTATTTTTACTTTCTATATTAAAATTTATTTCAGAATTATTAAAAATACAATTAACAATTTAAATTTGTTCTTGAAGAATAATATTTTTTTATATTATTCATATCAAATATTTTGTTTCAGTAATAAATAACTATAATTGATTGTTGAAAATTTGATTATAAACAAATATTTAAATAATATCTATTGGTTTTATAATGATTTGTGTTTTTTTTATTTATTATTATCTATTATTTATATTTTAATGATTTATAAGATTATTGCCTTTAAGTGACCTAAACAAACTAATTAATTATCTATATTTATGATAAACAAAATTTAAGTATATTTTATAAATTTTGTATTATTGGCTGATATCATTATACATACCTATATAGTTAATGTAATTTTAATTTAATTATGTAATTTGTATTTTTTAGGAAAGTAGGAACGACTATTCTTTTTTTATACAGAATATTAATTAAAAAAATGTCTATTTTAAAAAATACTCTCACAGTGTGATAATTTGTAGCATAAAATTAAATACGAGAAACTATGTTTAGTTAACTAAACTAAGCCACTATAATCTTCAAAAATTTTTTTTACTATATTGTACAAATATACGACATAAATAATGCTTTTAAAATTCTAGAAACGTTTTTTTTAAGTTTCATGCTGTTTGACATTTGTTTACGTTAATACTTGATACTGTAATGTAGATTTATCGACTAATATCAAAAATTCTTGGTAAGAATAAAATATAATATTCTTTTGTTTCCTTCCATTCTTGGGTTTTAAATACTTACGTTTTCTGTTAACTCAACATTTTTGTGAATTTAATTTATTTTCATTACTCTAATAATTTGAATAATACTTGATTGTAGGTTTACCTTAAAAATTTCTATTTGATTTTTAGTATTTACTCGTATTATTTTTGATTTGGAATTAAAATTCCTATGTTAAAAATGATGATGGAAATTAACTATAAAATTATATAACTTAATATGATTTTGATTTATTTTAAAATAATTTATTTTGGCTAACATTTAATATTATTAAAATAATAAAATGTCACAATAATTAGTTATTATTATGCATACCATATTTACATGACGTCACGCCCATTAGGGGAATGTAGTATTCGGCATTCGATTGGAATGTTGATTTCGATTAACACCTGTTTTTTCACTATTTTGACCTCATATGACCAGAGATTGAAGAATAATTTTGCATTCGTTTATCCTAGGTCAGGTTAATTTTTTTAAACAACTATATTTTAAGAAAAATGTTATATTTATGTCATAGGTACTTCAAATAAATAATAATTAATATATATATGTGCAACATTGATGCAATTATTCGCAGAGTATTTTAATATTTGTTTTTTACATAAATATTTAAACAATATTTATAAATAAGTATTTGATTAATTTCGAATAACAATATTTTTTATATATTCTATTAAAGAGATAAGGACTTATAAAATAATTGTTTGAATATTTATTATTTATTAAATTAACGCTTTTATTTATAATTTATTAGATGTATATAATAAGTAAATATTATAATAATATAAATATAGTAGTACAGAAAAATGTATGGGGCAAATTCAGAAAACCATATTGTTTTAAACTAAACAAATTTAAACAAAATAAAAATTTTCGAATCACATTATTTTTATAATTGTTTTCATATTGGATATCACGACATTTAAATAGGGTTTGTCATACAACTTTCTATATAAGCTTTTATGTGATTATACATTATTTAAGTACAGCAGGTATAACAATTATTTTCTTGTTATTACTTTAGTATAAAAACCTCAATACTGAAATTAAAAATTTCTCTTTGGATTTCTTGCATACTTACCTACATCACAAGTGATTAATAATTTTTTATAATTATATACATTGATTTATTACTTATACATAATTATTATTTTATGTATACCTACATTCTGAATATTAGCAATTTAATATGTTTTTCATTTTTTTCCAAATAAAAATACAAATTTTAGGTTTTATTTTTTAGATTATTTTAATAATATTGACCAATTCTATTACGTTATTAATATAAAAATATTTTTTTTTGGAAAATCGATAACTTATTTTAACATTTTAAAAAGTCATCAGGATATATTTGTGGCTCTAACTACTAAGACGTATAAGTACTCTCATAAATAATAAGTTTACACCTCTTACCTCTATAAAGTTTATCACTTTTATTTCCTTGGATATTTCCGTTTTATTAAAAGGTTCTCTGTAGTATAATTTTATTATTAGAATATTGGAAAACAAATGATTACTGAACAATGATAACTTTTGACTAATCTCAATTACATTAGTGGATTAATTTAATATGTGGCATTATTTTAATGAAGTTTTAAAAATGATAATTTATACTAATTTGTTTTATTTATGTTTTTAATTTTTTTTTTCTATAGACGCCTCTCCATTACGACTAGAGAGGTCCGAGTATAATCGAGACATAAATTGCTATAATGTCCGAAACCGAACAATTGTGATGCATAGTGCACGTAACAAACAAACCAAAGAAAAACGAAATCCCCTGTTGGACCAAGTTAAACATACAGGTCTTACACATTTCAAACCAAACACAACAATTAAAAACTATCACGAGGACAAGATCTGTACAAATGACGTTCATCGTGATGGTATTGATGGTGCAGATGACGAAGATGGTGGCGATGAAGACATTTCAACAATATCTGGTAGATTGAAGGCTATTTCAGACAGATATTTAAAATCGTCTACTCATAGATTTTTAGCTAAATTTTATAAGAATTCTCCTATCAAAACCGATAAATCAACTGAAACAGAAGAACCAAATTTAGACGAAAACAAAATAAATAAGGTTAGTAATAAATAATAATAATATTGATAATTTTTCAATACTGTTTCATAGTATATTTTAATAAATAAATACAAATTGCTTTAGATCATGATATAAAAAAAAAAAAATTAAAAAAAAAAAATTGAGTTATATATTAATTATACTGTTAATATACTCTTATAATATTTTATAAATTTATTGAAAAGTAAAACGTAAATACTACAAATGTTCAAATTACAGTTTGGTCTTTGGTATTTCAATGTATTTTTGTCTTGAATTTCGTATTTTTGCTGTAACTTATAAGAAAAATCCACTTATAATTTTTAATTTCATTTAAGAATGTCAATTGATTTAAATATTTTTTATACATAGTTTGACTAATTTTGTGTAGGTTAAATTAAGAAGTTTTTCTTATGGTACGTTACCCGGCTTGGACGAATTTCGGAAGAGAATAGCCGAAACAACGACAGAAAAAACAAACTGTACACCGGAAGATGACGATAGCGGCATATTATTGAATGATCCTCCAATCGATTCAGTCAATGGAATCACAGAAAATAGTACACAAGATTACTGTTTTAGGAGCGCTTCTCAGTATGGCATAAAACGACATTATGCACTTAGTTTACCTCCTAATAACAATAATCAATCATCAAACATATTGCCACCGAGGGTCAGTAGAAATAAGGAATATAGAGTGGTCCAATTAAATAGGGATTATCCAGAACAGGTTCTAGGTGTTCGAATTAAAGAAATACGGTCGGAGAACAGTTTTGGCTATGTGGTCGTCAATATTGTATCGGGAGGAGTGGCTGATCGGTAAATATGTATTTAGTATTTTGTGATTATAGCTGGCCCAATTGTCCATATAATGTTATTGTGGTTTATAATTTTTATACTTGGTCAAGAAAAACTGATTATGATAAAAAATATTATTACCGGAAGCTATCATATAAAATGTGATTAAAAATATGTGTCAGTTTAAATGTATGTAGGATAAATAAATATATATATATTTTTTTAAAGGATTTTATTGTTATTAATAGAATAAAAAAAACTAGGCATACATCAAAGATTGAGTATTATAATTGTTTTTCATTGGACGTCTTGAAAAAAATAAATAAATTAGATTTAAAAATATTTTAAACCAAACAACATTATATACATAATAGGTATATTTATTAGTAGGTCAGTACTCCATGAATATGTCAATGATATATTTTTTTATGAGTAAACGTATAATAGTTAATGTTATCACTCGTTACCTATATAAGTAGTTGAATTAAAATTAACAGTTTATTATTTTATATATGAACCTATTATAACTTTCTCTTTGTGTAAAATTAATATAATAATGTTAGAAACCTACCTACATTTTTAAATTTGAATATTTTAATAAAATGTTAAACACGAGGAGTTGACGAGGATGGCAAAATGTTGTACATTTAAAACTGTCACGATTTATTTAAAACATAAAAATATCATATAAACGTATGTTTTTGAAAATTATTGTCAGATTATATCAATTAAATACTAACTCAATTAGTTAACTGTAAAATATTATATATTTTTTCTTATTTTACAAATCTTATATATCTAAATAATGCCAACAATGACCTATGTACTTGAGTTTATGAGGGTACTTGAAATAATTAATAAAATCATAATAAACATAATTATACAAATCATTGTAATATTTAATGATTATTTTTATTGTTGAAAATGTATTTTAAAACTTTTTATATATATATTTTTTACAACTTAAATTGTATTTAATTTAATTAAGTCATAGGCCTGAGTGGGTTATTAATTATATCATTCTAGTTATCTTTTACTATAAGTGTTAAATACTAATAAATTATATATGTGTATACTATATAATAAATATGTAACTAAATGAGTTCTTAGTATACCGATATACTATACACATTTTTTAATAATTTTGCATCATAAACATTTTTAAAACATAAAGTAAAATTTACAGATTGCTACTTAAAACGAGTTAATTTATGTAAATTAAAAATTAAAGAGAATAAATACATTCAATTTGTGAAAAGAAAGGAAATTCCCATATGCTTTATACAATTTTTATTCTCATAGATATGATTTACTTTGCTTTAAAATAATTATTATAGATACTAAGTATTTATTTAATTTTTATATTTAATGGCAATTATTATTTTGTACTACATTTGTATCTTATATTTAAAACAACTTTTAGTTAATTATAATTTTATTAATATTCTTATCAAAATGCATTTTAACCAAATAGGCGATAAAAGTTTATTTTTATATGTGGATTAAAACTATATACATTTTTGGTTTACAACATGATTATTTTATATTTATCTTTTTTGAATAATATTTTTAAATATTGTAAATTAATTATTAAAAATAACTTACTAATGATAAAAATTAAAATGCAGTACTATTGTGTTTAATTGATTATCATTTTTGATGCAACGTGTAGTTCAATTACAAATTTAGCATTAGATTTTAGATAGGAACTGTATTGCCGATTAAGCATTACAATAATTATTATATAATATATATAATGAATATCCCACTAAAAAATTCTTAAATTAAGACCACTTTACGCTCTTAAGAATTTATTTGTAATATATGTATATATGTTGCGATTCCGGTTGAGGACACTTAGCCTGTAGGAATCTTATTAAAAATGGATTACACATTATTAAAAGTAAAATTAGGTACAAAAATGGTGACTGATCAAATTACAAAACCAGAATTGAAAACATATCTAAATAATTCACGAAGCATAATAATATTATGTAATAATTGGGCCAATCGACTTAAATAAAACATCGTTGTCATGACGCACGCACATCATCTATTCATAATGTTATCCCCCTAGGTATAACTACATAGTTTTCAACGACCTGTATACGTCATATATGATATAATCTTTAAATATATAAAAAACAGCCTTTTTTTATATTCCCATTTTATGATGATATTATTTAACATTTTTCCAATTTCTTTTCGCAGAGTTGTACCAAATACTCTTACGAGCGATCATTATATTTTCGTTTTATTTATAATTCAGCTACTGCTAATATTTAGTACTTGATAAAATTAAATAAAAATTTGAGAAAGCACAAACTACACATGGGCAAAGTCGGGTAATTTAGCTAGTATTTATATTTAATATAATAAAACATACATTAATTCGTGGGGTTATTAAAATTTTTCGACATTGGTAAAAATCATGGTTCTTTAACGTGATTCAGCGTCAGTATTTTAACGCGATATATCTAGAAAATCTGGGAGTTTTTTATATTATATTATTTAATATTTATTACTTGATTAGTATATTTATAAATTTTAGGAATAGATCGCGAGTTATGTATAATATGATACATAAATTAATTGAACATGATATTTCTTTTTACCTTTCACAGTCGACAATTTTGGCTCGTTTGTTCTCCTTAACTTCCTTGCTCGATGGTCACGCGCATCTGTCGTAAGTGGCGGCTTAAATATAATATAGTTTTTATTTATGATTTTAAGACTAGATAGGGAAAGGTCATTCAAGATTATAGGACACAAGTAGGATAATTTTAAGATAACTGGTTGTTTTGTTTAAATTTTCTTTTGTATTATTTTTGTAGTTTTCTTTACTATACAATATAGACATATTATAAGCTTATAATATTATGTTAAATAATGTTTGTGTTAATAATTAGATTAAAAAAAAATTGTTCCTTAAAAGTTATAAACTATAATAACTACGAATACCACCAATATTTTTTGTTATAAATACAGTTTTTCACAACGTAAATGATTATTTTCATAGTTTGTGATTTTGCTTTACACAGGACCAGTGATCTGGAAGTAGGCGACCAAATAGTAAACGTCAACGGTCGTCGTCTGGCTGGACTGGATGCAACCGATGCTAACCGTTTGCTCAACGACGGGTGTAGCTCGGTACACCTTCTGGTTACTAGAAGTGACCCAGACTATCGATCTGTAAATGCAGCCGATCGACCGTTGGCGGCGAGGATGCCCGAGACGTCTGTGGACTACGACCATAGTGGAAGTTCCCAAGCGCCACCCATCCAAAAATACAACAAGAACGGACAAACGTTGGTGTACATAACTCCACCATCACATTCGCGATTAGCCGCAAAGAGCAATACCAATGTTTCCACTGTGTATCTTAAGGGCGGTGGCAGTGATGGTTTAAGTGGTAACGGTTACGGTGATTGTGGTGCGGACGGTGGTAGTGGCGCCCAAGAGGATTATACTGGCACAGATTGCACGACATTTTGCACATTGCCACGGCGGCCGAAGTCGACGGTCTGTACATTCCACACTTTCGTGCTTGAAAAGGGTCCGGGTAAAAAAGGTTTGGGATTCACGATCGTCGGAGGAAAAGATTCGCCGAAAGGAGCCATGGGAATATTTATCAAAAGTATTTTAGACAACGGTCAGGCTGCGGAAGACGGTAGATTAAAACCTGGTAAATATATGAGTTAAGATTTTGCAGTATATCTCCAATAAAAACACTTAAAAAATATGCAAAGCAAACAATAACTTAAAACGTCGCCAACATTAATTAAGAAAAATAAATTTTAAGACGTATCTAATTATCTATACTATACTATTTTTTTTTAATTCTTAATTTATTTATTTTAAACTTTTTTTAATTTTAATTTTCTTTGAATTTAATTTATTATATCATTATACATGGCATATGACTATTTAAGTTTATAGTTTGTTAAAAAAATATTTGAAAATAAAATGTATGGTCCACGATAATTGATAATACAAGAAAAAAGTTGTAAACTTAATTTAAAAATCGTTTTAAAATTTGATGGTATTAATGAATTTATAGCAGACATAGTTTCGTGTATCTTATATTAGACTGATAAAAAAAAAATACCAAAAAAATATGAAATTTATAATTATTTTACTATGTATAATATATATTGATATTCTCTTTCAGTACATTGCTTATTAAGGGGAGCGATTGTATTAATAGTTATAGGTTCTAATAAAATAAGTTATTTTTATAGGTACATTTAATAACTATAATATTATAAATTCATAAATATTTATAAAAACATTAAACCAATATTTTTTCTAAGTTTGTTTTCTTACGTTTTTACTTCTATTATAATCGACTATCGACTGTATGCATTTTTAAATTTCTGATGATGAGGCATCCCTTCTATAAATAAAAAATGTGATATTATCAGTAGTCGGTCATAATATTTATTATAATGTAATTTTATCGTTTTATATAACTTTATTAAATATTAATAATTAATAATTGTCGAATCATTATTATAATAGTATCATATAATTTACTCAGTCCACATAAATGTAGATAGTCAAAAATGTGTCATACCGTTAACATTATTTATGTTTTTATTTAAATAATATTATGAATTTATGAATGAATAAGAATTATATACGCGTTCAATTAAATAACATTTTCCTTTATACACGTATGTTTTAGGGTATATAAAATATAGTTAGGGATGTTGGTTTATCAACTAGATAGAGAAAATATAGCTATGGTTTATCTGGTATTTTGGAAATTCCTTGGAAATGAGTTGCGCACATCGATGTAATTTAATTCAGTCAATGATTATATAATATAAATTTCTGAACTTGTGTAATTATTTATTATTTTTTCTTGTTTTGTTGTTTTAATCTACTCTTATTAAAACATATAGTCACTGATCACTTATTTATTATTACAGGAGACGAAATACTGGCAGTTAATGGAAATGTTTGTCACGACTTGACTCATTCAGAAGCAATAACACTGTTCAAATCGTTTAAAAGCGGTTCTATTGCTCTACATATTTGTCGTAGATCTAAAACGTCAAATAGGTAAATATTTTTGATATAAATAATATGTTTATGGTTTATAGTTCAGCTACAAAATGTCTTCCTATGTTATACGTAAAATTTCTGAATAATATTAAAAAATAATGCAAATGATGAAAGATTTTTCTAAAAAAGCTTTTCTAGGCGAATAATCTTTTAAAATGAAATGAATTGTATTATAATTATTATACCAATGTAGCTGTGTTTTTATATTTAATTTATAACACTATTATACTACTTTAAATTAAAACGATGTATACACTTTCACTAAAATTTATTTTCAATTAAATTTATTTCGTACCTCGAGGCTTTAACAACAAAATTATTAGCCATTCAAAAACAATTTTTACATGTTATTTATAAGTTTTACTTTGATAGTGTATGCGTGGTTTGATCTGTCTACGTTATACTTTGCTTGAAACTTGTTTTCCATCATTTTTTATATTCAATAATTCCGTAGATCGCGTAACTTTTTAGAAATTTCGAAAAGTTCTAGTTTTTTTATTGTTAGATGAATATATCCTGCAATTGCTTTAAGTCTATAAATTTTTATTATCTTTGATTGTGTCATTAATTACAGTCATAGTTTTGACGCAGAATAGCATGTTTAATAGTGAACGCTTTGAGTAATATGATTTGTATTTGAGTTGGCTCGGACGTTTCCTCTTATTCGTTTTAATTTTAACTTTTTAGTTTAGGTTTATAAAACATTAAAACCAAAATAAGATTGCATACATTTTGAATATTATTTTAATTTGACATACTAAAATTACTAATTACTAATTTTTAAAAATAACTTTAACGACATTGTATGAAAAAAATACAAATTTTTATAAGGTGACTTATATCATGTACAATTATAATAATTCTTAAAGTAATTTAGTGTAAAGGTGGATTTACTAATTTTACATTGGTTTAAGTTAATAACAAAAATCACAATATTTTTTTTTGTAGTGATGTATTAAATATAAAAAAAATAATTTTATCTAAATGACTATTTATAGTTAAAACCAATAAATGTTATAACTTATTATAATATTTTAAACATTTTATAAATGGGTCCTTATTTCTTATTTATATATATAAGTACTTTAAAAACCAACAGTTGACATGTTTTATTCCTAAAGTATTTTTATTTAAGCAGTTATGTTATTATTATTGTAGCTTATAGTCATAACATAGAAAGCCATCGTGTTTTTACGCTCTTGATTTTTTATTTTTATTATTTTTTAATTGTATGATGACTTGTTTTTTCAGAACTACTAAAACCAAGTCATGTTCGAATCTATTGAATGATGACAATGCAAGATCGGATTAAGAGCAGTGATGTTTTTTTTTTTATTTTTTTTTTTATGGTTCCAATCGTTACAGTCTAGTCTTTGGCGTCAATTAGAAATTATGTTATTTTTTTTGGTTAACCCACGACCACACAAAATATGTAAAATTTTGATTTACATTACGCCATAATGATATTTAAATACCATGTCTTACATCTCATCATATAATTGAGTAGCCATAATTTTTGTGTATCTCTTTATAACCTTTAAAATACTTAAGAAAATCGATATTAATTAATGTACAACGTAATTAATTCGGTTATTTAGTTCCTATAATTATTCAAAAATTTACGAATATCTAGAAAATGTCTAAAAAAACTATTACAGTAATTCATTGTTTTTCAAGATAAAACATACCTACCTATTTATTGTTTTATTCTATCAGATAAATTAAATAACAAAACTATTGTATCTTTTGATAAGTACTAAATACTACCGAGTACTGATAGCTGTATACTAAAATGTTGTTTTTGTTCTATGTTGTTGAATTAAAGATTCATATTTAATATTTTAACTAGATTATATTATGTTTGTGAATGCTTCTGCTTGAAAAAATCAAACCATTTGTAGTGTATATTATTTACAGATATATGTACATTATGTACTTATAGATTTAGTATTTAAATACAATTGAGAAGTTATGATTTATACACATTTACAATATTATAGATATAGTTATTTTACTGATTATTTGGTTTTGTTAGTTTAAATGGAATAGGTATATTGAATTATATTGAATGATGTACTTTATACTCAAGGGTCACCAATTAATATTTATTTTGAAGGGTCACCTTAGTTCAAGAGTTTAAAAAATTTTCGGGTACCATAAAAATTTAATTTACTTATATACTTAAACCAAAGAAAGTTGAGACAGAATCAAAAAATACAATGAAAACTGATGAAAATTAAACCCTAGACCTTATTGAATTCACCATTAAAAAAATAATATTTCTTGTTTTGAGGACAGATAAAATTCGTTCACGAACTATTTACAGTTATATTTTTCGTATATAATTAATAATTACATTGATTAAATTGCAAATTACTATTATTGTTTGAATACATTTATATTATATTGGTCGTGAACTTGTGAAATATTTGCATTTGTGTCCAAATATTTGATGGGAGTTTGTATAAATTGTTCAATTATAAATATTATATAGGTACTTATTATCTAATGATACCACAAGCTACCAAAAACATTTTAGGAAATTTATTTTAACTCAACATAATTATTAGATATTAAGGTTATCGTAAACACATAATTTTATATTTTTTCCTGTACCTTCTTTCTTATATTTAAAATTTATATATATATCAAATGCGTAGGTACTAGATTTGCTGTAATTTATGACTTAGATAGCCGATAGGTTAGGTAAGTCGTAGTCAAGTCTCAGAAAAGGATCTCTCCTCGTAAATGTCCTTTAATTTTATTTCGATTAATTTTTATATGCGAGTGAAATGTATTATTGCTATTTAAATATTTATACTTGATGCATATATTCTACTCTAGGTAAATGCAATATAAATATATATTACAACATGATAATTATTTGAAATAATGTATTCTATTAAATTGCTTATATTTTTTTCTCTGTATTTTTTTATACTATTAATTCATAACAAACTATATTCGTTGTTCAGTTTTAATAAAAACAGTTGACACACAGTCGAATTCGTTGATGATACCGTTGGTCGAGCATTGTTATTTGTTTTTTAGTGCGATAAATGCAACACATTTCAGTATAATACAGCTGTTAATGTTCAGTCTTGGAGTGTTGTGTCACGATACCAAGAAAATTCCGAATCGTTATAGCTAGTAAATAGTAATAATTATTAATAACTGATTATATCTATAGTTTTGAATTTTTAACAATTTTTTTAACTATTGTATGTTTAATAGTAAACTGCGCTCAACTGAATCTTTTTCCAATGCAATAATTTATTATATATCGATGATTCATTATTATTAAATTCAAAAACGATTAATCGTGTGATCAAATTATGTATTTGATCTTTTATGAACATTTTTGTATTATCTCATGTCTGCGTTAATGAACTACAGAGTTCAATAGAATACATATAATGGTACAACACTATTATTAAATTCAAACACAGCGTATTTAGTTGTTTGGTTTTTGTGTTGAAATAATAACTACTCTGTATATAAACCATTAAATATTATAATTTAAATTTATGACAATGTTTACATAGATAATATATGCGGGGTGACACTGTAGTGACGCAGATATTTCAGATAGAAATGTTTATGAAATGGTATTGTTCTAATGCTAGGTATGTAGATTTAACCCGCATTTCCGTTAAAAGTAATCGACTCTATTGTTTTTCCATACATTCAGTCATTATAGACGTCAATATGACAAAATAAATACTGTTTAATGTGTTGCTGTCACTTATTGATGGTGGGGGTGGAGGAGGCAAAGCATACAATTTAAACGCTGCTCTACAAGCTATACTGTAATGATTTCTACAGATTCGAAGACGGATTACTTCAGTCATCGAAGTCCAATGTGGATCTCAAATGCCGATCTCTATGCAGCTGAAACTGTGTGGAAAGGAAGGTGCTCAGAGATGGACCGGGTCAGCTAGTCGGCGAACGTGGACTGGCCTGTCACCCGTATTATATAATTTGGCTCGACATTACATTTAAGAATCAATGAAAACAAACAAAAATGTGTATCATAATAATATAACGAACTTTAAACATTGAATAATACACGATGATCGATGTTCATACCGAAAATTAATAAATAAAATAATTTGAAGTGATTAGAAATTAAGTTGAATAAGTTGAATAGTATCGTATTGTTGGGAACGCCAGTAGTTTTTATTAACTTGTGTATTTATTAAACGACACAATTATTATTGTCATGAAGTGAATTAATATTGTTCCCAACTTCCCAAGTAAATAGTATTTTTAATAACTGGACTACATCCTTTTTTTTTGCATATTAACATGTATATTATACTCTAAACCTAAACATTAATCATAATGTATTATACAAAGGATAGAAATAAAATTAATTTCTTTAAAGTCTAAATAATTTTAATTGAATTCATACAATATATTTTATACTTAGAGATAAACTTATATTAAAGACTTTTAAAAGTGTTGTTTTTAAACGATTTTTATTACTTCCAGTGACATCATGCGTGGGTGGTGTAAAAGCTAAACTAAAATTAAATTGTTATAAAGATAGAAAAGTATGAACTAAATGTTGATTTTTTTCCTATGTTTAGTTTATTTAGACTTTATTTGCGATGATCAGATTTTGTTAGGTACCTACATAATATTAAACATTTTGAAAACTAAATTTACCTTTGTATTGAATTTTGAATTTTGTAATTAATAATACTGTACTTACCTATTATTATTTTATATGTTAAAAATTGGATAATATACAATTGTGACGTTCTTAATTAAGTGTAATACAAATTAAAAATTTAAAAAAAGACTAACGAGGAAATGCCTTTATTAAATTTAATTGCAATAGATTAAAACGAAATAACTGTGTTATATAAATATAATAATTTGATAATATTTGGTATTTAGATGAGTAACATATCCAAAATTTAAAATTGACAAATGTAGTGGTGATGTTGATGAAAATAAATAGGTACACACTGTACACAGTAAAATGTAAACGCAGTTCAGGATGGGCAAGAAAAAAAGAAAGAGATAGACAAAAATTAAAGGCTATTGCTCAGGACAAAAATCAATGGAGAAAGAAGTATAATATTTATATTTGTTGTAATTACATATTTAAAAATAATCATTCATCCAAGACAAATATTTATAAATTTAAATTAAATATTTTTGGTATGATGTAGGTAGTTTTAATTCTTCTTAGTTATTATGAATCTTGTTTTTTTGATTACCAGGTAACCAAATTTCCTGATTGGTAGTCTGTAATTGACCGTTTAACACGACTGTATTCGAGGCCGTAATATAGGTAGTAAGATCACTAAAAAATACAATTTTTACACGGTCTTTTAATAGTATCTCACTTATGTAAGGAAATAAACAATCAACAATTACTGTGGTATGAAAACATCATAAACGTAATAGTTTGATAAAAGAGAATTGATTGTATTACATTCATTGATTTTTGTTTAAAGATGACCCGAAGTTTTAAAATTGCTGACTGGTCTGTCGCCTACTCAGTCTGCAGTCTATCTCTGTAGATGCCTGCCTATAACCATTATTTTTTAACCGACTAATAATAATAATATTGGTTTTTTTGCAACAGTTAAAACTAGCACCAATGTTATTTCATAAATAATTTAAATAAACTTCAAATATTTGTTTATATTCAATGATGAAAACCGGGTACATTTTACATTTACACCTACTCAGTAATATATTTATATTTCACCGATTGTCAATTAATATGTATTATGCACAGAACGATTTGTTCTCATGAGTTACCCCCGTGTTGTTTGTTTTTAAAATACAATATATTCTATTCAACATTTCAACGATTGTCACACGAACAAGAAATATGTCATATTTATAAATGAATAATACCAATTTTTTTCCTGACAAGTTAGGTAATACATTTCATTTTTAAATGATCTTTAACTTAAGACCCAGCGGTGTTCTCAGGAATTTTTAATGTGTGATGGTAAGGTGATCGAGGATAATTTCTAGAAAAAATATAGGAGTTATCGGCGTACACCCCTCTATAGTTTGGACATTTAATATTATTTTTAAAAATAAAAATACAAAATGCAATGTCCTTTTTATTTTTTATAACATAAAATCTAATTTTCTAGGCTTTTATACGAAATCATCTACCTCTTCTCTAACCATTACTGGAACCCTCCCACGAGTGGTTAACATTTTGAGCCCATTGAGCTGGGTCTAAAATAATTTAGTAGATACTATTTAGTAGTCTGTTTTTAAATTTAATTTAAAAGAGGTAACCTTTGTTATTGTACTTTGTAAACAACTTTTGAGCCTTATGAGACGAGAAAATTTTCTCTACAAAACAAAGTTGTAGTAAAAACTGGTTGAGTGCGCAGTATTTTTAACAGACAATAAATATTTGGAAACATTTTTTCATTCCATAGTCGTAATGTTTCTTATTTCGATCCAATTTCGTATCCCATAATTATTCCGCTTAATTTCTATATTAAAATCAAAATAAAATTAGACTAATTCATTAAATTCATCAAAATATGTTTTAAAAAATAATTAGAAATCATTAGAAAATAAAAATACATTTTAAATATTAAACAAAAAAAAACCTATAGAAAGAGAATGGCTTATGTAACCAAGTTTTAATGGGCAAAATCAATGGAAAAATACCTAGAGGCCGCTCTAGGCACAGATTAATGGA